TTCATGTGAATAACGGAAAGAATATCATTAAATTACTCTGTTGCTTTTGAGATTAATACCTGTAAAATGTCCTTTTCATCTTTAGTCACTGATTCGACATATTTGTAAGTGTATGCTTCAGGTTCTATTTGACTCTATCTGTATCCCCAGAAACCAACACCATCCGCATCTACCCAGTGCAGCATGTACTGTGGATCCAGCACAGCACCCGCAATGTAGATTTTCTCAACAAAAAGTTCTTGATGGCTCCCACTGCCTGAGTTCATATCCATTTCACAGTTCCGAAGATTTCTCTGAAATGTCTTCAAAGAGGTGTGAAGCTGTGTCCCCAGTGGCTTGGAGAACCTCGTGTCCTCTATCCACTTCCGTAGGTGGCTGTGGATGTCTAGTACAAGAGGCAACACCTGACTTATTGTGACACGTTGATCCCCTGTAACCAAAAAATAGTGACCATAAACATTCACAAGGTATATGTACGGTCCCTTGGTAGTGTAACATTGGTAAAATGAATAAATCCCTATTTATAAAGACTTGTAACAATAAACTCTCAATTAGTCTGGATTATTCAATAAATTACATGAGACTTAACACGTTCAATGCTGCCGGTGTTAACAATGCACCTACCGCCCTGCGCTGGGATTTCTGCGTTTTATACCGCGTATTCACTTATTGATTTACCACATTTCCTTTGCAGGAAAGCTAACCAAACGGACACATTTACTCTGCATGAGTGTTATCTCACCCTTACGTTCCCCTTCATAATAATATATTGATATGAAATCAGGGCAAAAACGGACATTTCGTGCATTTTCGTCTCAAATGCCACCGCACCGGTGGATTTTCCCGAGTTTGTTATTATATCTTGTAAATTGAGTTATAAAATTATAAGTTATTAGTAGGAAGTGTAATATAGATGAATACTTACTGTCAGTCATCAAATAAGACATAATGCTGTCAGAATCAGCACATATGTCTGCCACTTCTTTAGCCGTCAGAGAATGTCGAACATTCGCGCGAGCTGCCGTGATTACAAATAGCGTCCTTGAACGGACTTTAGCCCCAAATTTACGCTGAGTCTCAAAACTTCTAATTTCACGTTTGAATCAACTGTAAAGCATTGTATTCTTTAGTAAGACTGGGGTAATATAGACTGTCCCTGTTTAATTTCTAGGTAGGTAGTGCCTGCCATCTGTTGGAAATCAGAGTAACAAAAACCAATAATCTATCCACGAGCTGATTCGTGGATCCGTGGGGATGCGTTTTGATTGTTCCCACGAGCTGACTTGTGGATCCGCGGGAAATGTGTTACCTTGCAATTTATTGCAGCTTATAATTGATTGTAACTACCAATAGCGAAAGTGCTCCAACATGATTGGCTGTTGCCACGGAATTGACAATTGAGTTTTTAGTGTTGTACATTTTGGTCAACGTGTGAGTAAATATAAAGCTTACCTTTAGTTATGTTGGTGGCTTCATCAAAAGGCTCTAGGATTTTGCAGAGCTCAGCAAGTTGCCCCCACTCATGTCGATTCAATAGTCATGTCGAGCGTGTGAGCATTCTTGTGTGTCAAGCACACACGCCTTGCAGTCGATGCCTCCGACCTTCGTGAGTGACTTGAGTTGGTGGTAGGTGGAGTTCCATCGAGTAGCCACTGCTGCAGGTGTGGTTCGGCGAACTCCTAACTTGTCATCAAACCTAAAACTGAGACACATAAGTAAAGAATATATCAGCCTGTCTGAAAATATTTTCTTCTCAAATAATATTTAAAATCAACAAGTTTTGATTTATGAACTAAATTAGATAAAATAATAATAAATAATAATAATGATAGTGCTCATTTCAACAAAAATGTGCAGGAAAGTTTGCTATGCAAATCATGCTGTTGTACGATTGTATCAGTCTTAATGCAGCATATATTATTCTACAGGAAACCATCGTTGAATAACTTTGATGTTTAAAATGATGAATGTCAAATTAAGTAACAGAAGTTTCACCATGGCTTAGTTTCATACCAGTGCATCATTCAAAACTGGTATTGACCATCAGTATAAGGTTTTTGAAAATCACTGTACAATAGTCCCGTAATACATGATATGCCTTACAATACTGCTATGGTGCATACATGCAGTATTACATAGAATGTTTTGTTCTTTATCAACTTCTTACTGTAATGATCAATGAGAGTTAAATGGAAAGAAAACATCATTATTATGTATTTTTCAATTGTCTTTTTGATTAATTTCACACTGACAAACACATATACATGCAAAAACAAGTAGTGAACAAACTGAACATATAACCTACCTTTCTTAGAACCTTTCTTTTTTTGGTTCTCTTGCCTAAGAGCGTGTAGATCTTTGTGATTTTCGCAATTTCTCTTCCAATATTTCCTTGAGGCCAACCAGTTGCAGAGTGTGAGCAAAGCATGAAATTGTCTGCCGTTTGACTGGACTTGAGGAGTCTTTTATATTTCCTAGTCGGAAGACACCTTGTCTGAGCTGGAGCTGAGGACTAGATTCCGTCGCAGCGCCTCTCCAGACAGTATTGCTTGGCCTCCCTTGTTGGTGGCGCTCTATTGCTTTCTTAGCTGCTGGACGAGCTCGCCAGCGGTTATTGGCTTAATGCTCATAACTTCTTTAATGGCCATTCCATCTTTCCTTGTCCTTCATTTCTTCTAACTTTTTACGTAGTCTTTTGCTTTCCTTTCCAGCAACTCCCATTCCTCTCGTTTTCCTTCTCCCATTTCGCTCACTCGTCCTCTTGTTCCCGTTTGTCCATGGCGTTCAGTTTGCTTTGATGCCGCTCCTCTTCAATCTAGAGCATTAGCCTCTGCCAGTCTCGTCGTAGGTCGGCTAGTCGTTACGTGCTTCTGGCGATTCTTGGATTGTGAATTTGGCTGACTCGCCACGTGGTGTATGATGCGAACGAGGAAGACATAGATCAACAACGGAGATGAATTACTTCATGCATCGGCCATTCAACCGACGCGTTTAATCAAAGAATAAACATCAGACTAAATACACTTACATATGTGTGCGGATCGACTCTATACGATAGGTAGATTCGTAACACAATAGAACGTGACACGGTATCGAGCCGGCTGAAGGAACAGCAGCGATGAATACATCATAGACGAGAGAGCGGGTATAACTCCGCAAGCTCTTTATATACATGGCTCAGTTACTCCTGATTGGTCAATTGGTGGATTGAGATTCTGCCATTGGTTAGAACCAAGCGCGATTAGCCACTCTGATTGGAATGGCAGATGTGGCGTGACAATACCCCGTGTACACGTTTTTGCACGCTTCGCGGACTACGCGCAACGCAAAAGCCTGCTCAGCGCGGGGGCTATTTCCCCGAGTGACATGCCTTACTTCGGAGCTGGTAATTATATTGATGAGGCTGGTTTGCCACATCAATATAAAATAAATAAAAAACCTTCAGCTGTATTTTTATCGGGAGTTTCAGAATCATGTGTTCGAATCATTGCATATAGAGTTATTTCGTCAATAATAGGCGTACTGCGGGTGCTGTCGAAATCAGCACACGTGGTAATAACTCTGTAATACCGTATTTTGCTTCCTATATAACAATTGACTTCCTTGCTAAGAGGTGATATGTAAAACGAGAAAGTGGCAACTAGACGACTGTCATAAGCCAAACGAGCTATTTCCAGGTATTTCCCTGACATAAAATATTTCGTAGATTTTATTTAACAGCAGAAATGGCAGCAATATCAATAATATCAGCAGCAGGAGGAACAGTTGATTTAGCAAATAAAGAAATCACAATATGAACAGTCGATTTGCTTAGTTATACTCGATATAATAAATACATAAATATCTACACAACATTAATATTAATCCAAAGCATCGTCCATCAGGAAAGATAGCGTGAGTGACAAGATAGTGAGGGTAGTGTGAAAGGAATAGGGGGGGTATGGTAGGATAGTATGAGAGCAAGTGAAGAACGAGAGAGAGAGAGAGAGAGAGGGGGAGAAGTGAAGCAAGGGGGGGGCTAAGGTAGGACGGTGTGAAAGTCGGTGGAAGACTAGAGAGGGAAGAAAGAAATCAAAAGGCAGGTTAACGTGGTATAACTATTAAATAGATTGCCGGTCTGGTCCTATCGTCTTCTTCGTCGATCCTTGAGGTCGATCGGGGGTAGCGAGGTGGCGGTGGTGGGTACTTGCTGCCCGGCATCATCTCCACGTACGGTTGTGGCTGCGGGGCCGGGGTGCTGTGCTGGGTCGGCGGCAGTGGTGTGGGCTGGGGCGGCTCCTGCAGCGGTGTCCACGGGCACCTCTGAGGGGGCTGGTCCTCCAGTGGATGGTGAAAGTGGCATTCCACGCAGGTCGTCTGAGTGGCCGCGTCAGTGGTGGGCTCGAAGCCCGACCTAATCTTGGCGTCTGCCCGGGGCGCCCATATCCCTGACTCAATATGGTGATCGGGACCGGCGCCAGTGCGCCGACTGGTAGTGCCCCGAGCGAATAACCAGAGCAGGTGACGCCCTCCTAGCAGCTCGGTTTGCGCCGGCCGGGTTGGTATCCTCTCGGGTGTGTCCTCCTGGTCCAAATCCGGAGTGGCATCGCCCTTTGTCCCGAACGTCGAGTGACCAGGTACGGAGGCCATTCCTGTGTTGTAGAAGTCTACATGGTCGTGAGGTTACTCTGGACGTAGTTTGGGCCATTTAACACCTATTTCGTAATTTTTTGAGTAGCGCAATATGAGTAGATGTATTGACTACGTGGATAATCTTCCACGTGAGGCAAAGGAGAGATACAAGACCAAACTATCGGCGATCGGCCTTTCCCTGAACGAATGCCCCTACCGTCAACCAGCTAATGCTTGGGTCAACGACCCGACTGCTTGGCCCGACCTGCAGTTTGCTGATGTTTACATGTATCTCACGAACACTCCGGGTACGTATCGTTATTTTGTTTACTGTATTTGTTATTGTTTATTGTTTATTTTGTTTATAACGATCGATATCGTTATTTTGCTAGTACTAATAGTAGTGTTCACGGAATTTATCTGACTGTAGCCAAATTGCTGACAGCTGGGAAAATTCCGTTTAGCTTGAAACTGCAGCTTGAACTTACTAAAATCTAGTTTGATTAGTCTAGACTCTAGTAAAGGGTGATATTGATAAACCCCAAGTCCTAAACCCAACTAGAGTCTACGCCAAATCTCAAACCCTACTCCCAAACCCTAATCAGCTAATGTAATGGTAACATCCTAGTTGGCTTACTCACATTTCGCCTACACCCATTTCGCCTACGTCCCAGTTGGCCTACTCCCATTTCGTCGACTCTCAGAATCGACAATATTCCCATTTGGCCTACTCCCATTTCATCCTGTATTTTCTATTTTTGTCAAGTCGTGTTCTCATTATTTATAAATCATTATTTAATAAACAAACCGATCATAGACGAAATAGGAATGGGTATATTTTAAGCGTAGACGAATTGGGATCGAGTTGGCGAAATGGGTGTAGGCCAACTGGAAATTTTGCCGTAGGCAAACCTAACACTGTTCTCTTTTGTCTTTTTTTCCGGAATAACCTACCCGTGAGTGTTGCGGAAGCAACTGACGTTGATACTCGACTCAAGCCAAGGCTTCACTCCCACATGCACGTGAACCCACTCACTACCTTGTCACTATATCCAGTGCAGTGGACACCAACAAGTACGAGAACATAACATAAACCCATCTATGACTATTACATATTTCATGCAAAATTTATAGACTAATTAGGTAGATGCCATTTGTCTATCAGTATTGATCACTATCAATTTATGTTCCAACTACAACATTAATACGATAACTTACAAATACAAGGAAGGATCCATATTAATTAAGATTATAATTTCCAAACTAAATATTCAGTTCAGCTGTGTGATCTATGTAAACCTACATGTAGATTTCATCGTTTATTATTACTCTTTATTCCATTACAGGTGTATACACGCATCAAGCAATGAAGGCTTACAAGTCACTAGAGGCTCATCGATACTTCACTGCAGGTTTTGTCATGACGGTGTTTTACTTCAAGCCTCCAACCGGATTCATGATCTTCAAGGCTGATGTGCGGCCATCGCAGAGAGCCAATGATCCATCTCATCGTCCTTGGTTGGCAACAAATAATGATGGAGTGGTACAAACTGCTCACTGCACTTGTATGGCAGGGTAAGGATTTTGCTCCCTAAGTAAAATGGATTTCAAACTTGATGGATTATAGATTCTTCATGGAAAGCAATAAAGTTACATTTAACATGTATTCATAATTACCTCCGCCAGGGGCGTGGCGGAGGTTATGTTTTCACCGGCGAATGTTTGAGTGTTGGTTTGTGTGTTTGTGAACATTCCACATTGAGAGAATTCAGCTGCCTTGGCGGAGGTCTGTGCGCTCCGAGTGCTCTAGTTTCTACTGTATTTATACTCTCATTATAAGATTAATATTTAGATTATGTGGAATTAATCTATAGACTGCAATATCTGTTTTATTACTGAATCCCCCGAAGACCAGCATTTTAATGACCGAACCTTTTTGTTTCCTTTGAATTGATTTTGCTCAAAGTCTATATTTTTCTAGTAATTTTGTTCTCCCATTACATTTTAACAGCCTTGGCGAATCATGTTCACATGTAGCAGCATTGCTATTCAAGCTGGAGGCTGTCGTTCGGCTGGGTGTGACAACCGTTGCTTGTACTAGCAAGCCATGTGAGTCGAATAACTCTCAAGCAAGGTAGAACCAGCACGAATTTACGAAATCCTGTTTTACAGTGAAGAAGCAGTACAGAAAGTGGAAAACACAAACAGAAAACGACGAGCCACATCGCAGATGACACAACCAACCGATGAAGAACAGCAAGCTTTCCTACAGACTCTAAACACCAACACAAATATCCCAGCAGCTCTATCACTGTTTGAATCAACTTCAGCAGCATTTAAATCGCAACGAGTGCTTCCACCCACACCTCAACTACCTGCAACATTGCGTTCAAATTTCAATGATAACAACAAGCAACTAGGTTCCACTGAGCTGCAGCAAAAGTGTGAGGATCTTGCTCAATCACTAAGTGTATCCAGAGACGAAATCACCCATCTGGAAAAACATACGAGATCGCAAGCCAAGTCACTTATATGGCATGAACACAGATCCGGGCGTATAACCGCTTCATCGGCGTACACTATTCTCCACACAGATTCCGACAAGCCAGCTCCATCTGTGATCCTACGATCCACAAAGCCCAATCCTACAGAAATTCGGGCGGCGCCACTTGTTTATGGACGAGAAAATGAAAAAAGGGTGTTTATGATGGCAGGACAATTTTTGGGAAAAACACACAGTAATTTTGAACTATCGCAGTCAGGCTTGATGATAAGTGAAGAAAAACCATGGCTATCGGCCTCTGCTGATGGAGTCATGCAGTGTTCCTGCCATGGGACAAGGGTTCTCGAAATCAAGTGCCCATATACAGCAAGGAACAGTCAACCAGAAGAGTTCCTCCACGACCAGTCATTATTCGTGTTCGACGGAACATTGAAAAAAACACATCAGTACTACACTCAAGTTGAGCTTGAAATGTATGTGCACAATGTAGAGGCGTGTGAGTTTGTTGTGTACGTAAATGACTCGCTAATCCATAGGACCATAACTCGCGATGAGGAATATCTCACTGGAATTCTTCCAAGGCTAGAGACCTTCTGGAAACGACACATCACACGTGAACTCCTGACACGATATATGGAAGATGGGGACAGCAAGAAAGACGACAAGCTGTACTGTTACTGCCAAAAGGCATGGGATAAAGTCTCTGTTCTTGTTGGATGTGATGGACTGCATTGTCCATTTGAGTGGGTACACCTGGGATGTATTCGACCTGTACGGAAGACGGTGCCAAAGGGAACATGGTATTGTAGGCAATGTAAGAAAAATAAGTAAATGAAGGGGGGATCGTCAAAACGAGTTGGGATGTCGAAGCTGGGGGTCAAAGGTCAAAGGTCAAGAGGTGTAAAAGAAGGGGGAACAGTCCCTCCTTAACTTAAGGTATAGGGAGGAAATGCAGAATTGCGGCACAAATCTAAACGGCTCGACCTAGGCTCGTGATAGTTGGTGTATAGCATCATTCATGGTAGGAAGTGCCATCACTGTGCCGAAATTGGAGGTCACAGGTCAAAGGTCAATGGGGCACAGGGCAGATTTTAGACATTTTCTAAGGACATGGTCTGACGGAGCGATTGAAAAACTTTTTTGTTTCAGCGGTGACCTAGCATTTTTATGGCTTTATTGAAAGGACCATGAAATGTACTTTCTGCTGACATGCGAAGAGTAAGTGTCTGATAACCTTTTGACCCTCAAGAGGATGGTTAAACATGGATTTGTTTACTGTCTGTTAGAAAGAATTTGACTGCCGGGTTTGCTAGTAGAATCTATACATGCCTGGATGTATGAGGCTACAAGGTCACAGTGAAATTTCAAAAGCTAAATTTGGTTGAAGAAGGTTTATGCTCCTTAAAATGACTATTGCGAGATTTTTGTTCAGAAAAACTAAATATAGCTGAATATAGTCTCACCTGACAGCGAAAATATCAATGATTACACCAACATTAAAAATACTAAGATTTTATGCCGTTATAGGATAGAACGAACGTAGTTGAAGCGACGATCACCTATAATACATCGCGCAACAAAATAAGTTTACATGACTTGTTCAATGTTGCTGGGTGCATGTTTTGTAAATGTCTGTATGAATTGTTTCATTCGCACTGGTCGTTTTTATGCATTGTTCATTATGCATTCGAATCTCGTCACAGTGATCGCAAGGCAGCTCATGTCGGGTAAAACAATGCAAGCGATGGGTGAAACAAGATTTATTATGTATGCTACTGCTGTTTTTTTTTGCTTTAAATTGCAAGTAATTGTAAGTGCAATGTGTTTGGTATGTGCTTTACTTTATAATAATTATTTACTTGTATATATATAAATATTAATACTTGTAAGAGAATGGGTAAAAAAATCATCAGAAAAAACATACCTAGTATTTCATACTGAATACAATGTTTTTTTTATGTGAAATGTTTTTGAATTTGACTCTAATCAAAGGACCCGTAATTCCTGTTGAAACAAAATCTGGTATAAATATATGTTGAAACAGATACAATCATATGATTTCAAAGTAAAATAAATGATACAGTTCTCTAACAGGTAAGAGCAATGTGTTTGGTATGTGCTTTACTTAATAATTATTTACTGTATATATATAAATATTAATACTTGTAAGAGAATGGGTAAAAAAATCATCAGAAAAACATACCTAGTATTTCATACTGAATACAATGTTTTTTTTATGTGAAATGTTTTTGAATTTGACTCTAATCAAAGGACCCGTAATTCCTGTTTGAAACAAAATCTGGTATAAATATATGTAAACAGATACAATCATATGATTTCAAAGTAAATAAATGATACAGTTCTCTAACAGGTAAGAGCAATGTGTTTGGTATGTGCTTTACTTAATAATATATTTACTTGTATATATATAAAATATTAATACTTGTAAGAGAATGGGTAAAAAATCATCAGAAAAACATACCTAGTATTTCATACTGAATACAATGTTTTTTTATGCTGAAATGTTTTTGAATTTGACTCTATTCAAAGGACCCGTAATCCCTGTTGAAACAAAATCTGGTATAAATATATGTGAAACAGATACAATCATATGATTTCAAAGTAAAATAAATGATACAGTTCTCTAACAGGTAAGAGGATCTCAGTTGTCACATGAAAATGCATTAGCCCTTGAATACAATGCTCCCACCAAGGTTAACTAAAGCTGCACACACCCTCAGGAGTCTATCAATGCTCGCTTCATCTGCTTGGTCAGCCTCGTCCTTTAAGGTCTTTATCATTTGGATTGGCAGAGTACCCTGTAGAATTGCATACCGCTTTTTAAGGAGTCCTATAACTCTCTCCACATGTATACGAATAGATGACATCTGACGGGATATTTCCACATCGGCGGCAGGCAACTGTTTCTTTCCCCTGGTGAATGCTGGTATCACCAGCTCTACTCCACAGTTCACCGCAAAGTCATCTTGGAGCGTGAATCCTCTGTCGGCAAGAATCTGATCATGCGGCAAATGAAGATTGGGTGACATGAAACCAGAACGACGTACCAGTTCTACGTCTGACACACGGCCTCCCCATGCCATGGATATGTAAGTGATGGCACCAAGAGGACTGCAGGCTACAAACACCTTAGCTGTGGTGTGTTTTTTATAGTTCGAGTAGGTTTGTTGTCGTGCAAGCAAATTCCCAGCATTGCCGATGAATATTTCAAAACAATCCACAATTCCAGTCAAGCGTGGATACAGAACTTTAAACTCGGGTGGAAGTGTTTCAGCTGCGGCATCCCTGTCTGGCCATCTCACCAGGAAGGACAACTTGGCATACATCACATCGATCCACTTCCAAAAGTAGTCTCGCACCGTGGTCTCTCCACAACCAGCAATATCAGAAATAAACTCAAAAGATAAGTCCATACGAAGTCTTACCAGTGTTAGGAAGAATTGATCAATGAATGGCAGACTCTCCTTCGTTCTTCCTCCGCCATGCGAGGACAGAAAATAAAAAGTTTGCAGAAAAACTGCCCATGTTAATCCTGTGTAAAAGTGTGATTTGGCATCGTTGTCCTGAATAGCAGAACTTGAAAGCTGCAGGTCCCTGTACTTTTTCTTCATCTCTTCAAGTTGTGTGATGGCATCTTCCTTCTCTTCTCGCAGATTGTTTATCTCATCATGTAAAGATTTGATGATTTCCTGCTCATTTGTAGAGTCTGTCTGAGTAATAATGGAGGCAGCTTCTTCGAGAGGAACAAAATCCTCGATGACATCGAGCCCTTCAGCTTCTTCGAGCGGAACAAAATCTTCGATGACATCGAGCCCTTCCGGATCCTCAAACGGAAGACGTTTGGTGCATGATCTCTTTGAGGCAGTTTCCTTGTGACGCTTGTATCTTTTTAAGCTGTGTTCTGCGGTGTGTTGACTCTTGGGACGGTGGGGGAAGATTGATGGGATATAATCTGGATGCAGAGAATCTTTCGATGGTCGTTCTATAAAAAATGAAATAAGAAAGGTTTTTGTAAATTACCTCTGCTGCAAAGGACTGTTTATTGCCATGAAGAAATATAATTCCAAAATTTTAAATATTTATACTAGTTTTTCGTTACCGTTATCTAGACTATCATCTTTTACTTTATGCATTCAGATCCACTTGCTTCATTTCTTCAAGTTCAGCTAGAATTATTCGTTCTTCGTTCTAAATCTCGGTAGCAATGACAATACTATGACTATGGGTGTAAATATAATTTTAGACCAATTTATTGGTTTAGTACGAGTAGTAATAGGAGTAAGTCTAGACTGAAACTTGGAAATGGGATCTCTGCACATGTAATTTTGATTCTACGAGTAAGAAATAGAAACCAAAATGAATCTAATTACCTGTCACAAAGTGATCAGAACAAACGGTCCTTGACCCGACGGGACTCCAGTGGGAGCCGTCCTCGTTCTCTCGACTAATTGCTGCTAGCCATCGGTTTCTCCTCTCGGGGCTACGATGTCGCTTTGGCAGCTCAAAGAATGCGCGTTTTTTGTCTCTTGAAAGGTTGTGGTTGTGGCATCCAAACACCACACAGTTTCTTGGCATTATGCGATGCGTGCATTGAGCGGTGCGTTGCTGCGGTTTGTTTTCATCGGCTCTAATCTACATCCGGTCAAATTGTCAAAAGTTCCCGGATGTCCGCCCCCACCTATACTCGATATAATAAATACATAAATTGATCTACACAACATTAATATTAATCCAAAGCATCGTCCATCAGGAAAGATAGCGTGAGTGAAAGGATAGTGAGGGTAGTGTGAAAGGAATAGGGGGGTATGGTAGGATAGTATGAGAGCAAGTGAAGAACGAGAGAGAGAGAGAGAGAGAGGGGGAGAAGTGAAGCAAGGGGGGGGCTAAGGTAGGACGGTGTGAAAGTCGGTGGAAGACTAGAGAGGGAAGAAAGAAATCAAAAGGCAGGTTAACGTGGTATAACTATTAAATAGATTGCCGGTCTGGTCCTATCGTCCTCTTCGTCGATCCTTGAGGTCGATCGGGGGTAGCGAGGTGGCGGTAGTGGGTACTTGCTACCCGGCATCATCTCCACGTACGGTTGTGGCTGCGGGGCCGGGGTGCTGTGCTGGGTCGGCGGCAGTGGTGTGGGCTGGGGCGGCTCCTGCAGCGGTGTCCACGGGCACCTCTGAGGGGGCTGGTCCTCCAGTGGATGGGGAAAGTGGCATTCCACGCAGGTCGTCCGAGTGGCCGCGTCAGTGGTGGGCTCGAAGCCCGACCTAATCTTGGCGTCTGCCCGGGGCGCCCATATCCCTGACTCAATATGGTGATCGGGACCGGCGCCAGTGCGCCGACTGGTAGTGCCCCGAGCGAATAACCAGAGCAGGTGACGCCCTCCTAGCAGCTCGGTTTGCGCCGGCCGGGTTGGTATCCTCTCGGGTGTGTCCTCCTGGTCCAAATCCGGAGTGGCATCGCCCGTTGTCCCGAACGTCGAGTGACCAGGTACGGAGGCCATTCCTGTGTTGTAGAAGTCTACATGGTCGTGAGGAAAAAGAGGTCAGTAGCTGCAGCTTAGGCACGGTTCGTATGACGGGAGAAGCAAGAGCGAATAAGTAGTAATCAAGGCACTTCAACCAAAAGTTGTTGCTGCTATGCAAGCGTTATATGCAGCGTATTGAACTTTAACGCAATCAACTCAATTCATCGAGACCGTGTTGAATTTATCAAAACTTATATCGTCCCTGAACACGAATGCATTATTATCTTTATTCTACATATAAAAACAAGATCCGCTACATCCATACGGACTGCCTTAGCCTACTGCAACAAAAATGAATACGGATTAATGAACAGCAAGGAACAAATGCTAAACAAACATGTTAACAGCAAAGTACCAATATCATCCGGCATTTCCTATGGGATTTTAGTTCCCATTTAATTTCCTTTACGTACACCTACCGCGACCTTAATACTTGGCAATTTAACTTCAAGTCAAATCCTTGGTATACTGTTCCGTTAGGATCCAGCTAAATATTCAAGTATAGGGTAAATCCACTGAGTGAATTACACGTTAATGGACCTATAGGCATGCCTGGGTAAAGTATGGGTAAGGGTGGGGTGGTAGCGCGCAATGGCTGTCGAATCAATCCGGTTATGCGTACAGGTGGGGTTTTGGGTAGGGTATGGGGTGGGGATATGGTAGGTATGAACATCATGCTTGGTTGAGACAGTGTTGCAACAGCCCGAAGTGGCGATGCCGGCCTCACCACAACCGGCGGTCAAAACCCCATTATCTCATTTGGACGTTCATTCCTTATCGGACGTTTAGCCTGACGGCAATATTGACAGGCACTGCATCTGCAGCACTTGACACCAATATATATACCAAATAATACAGACGCCAGCGCAGCTAACCCCGCATACGTTGAGGCATAGTGAATAGGTGCATTAAATCCCGTGGTGTGTGAAGTATCATATGGACTATTCGATAAAGGCTGATTATCTTTAACCGAATCCACCAACTTTCTGAACGCAACTTCGAAATCCGCATGGCTATACAAAGCTGTAGGCACCACCGTGTGCATACGAGGCATTATGCTCGTAACGTTAGTAACTGGGTGTCCCACCGTGTCAAAAAACGGTCGCCATATCTGAGGAATGTCAGGCCAAGTACTGAGCTCAAGCAATGGCGGCGAAATATCCTGTGTTGATTGGTGTACATAATACGGGGGCAATTGAAAATAATCCGAATGAGCTTTACATACCGACTTCCAAGTAATCAGTTGCTGGTTAGTCATGAGATGCTCTTTTATACGTGGGGCTTCTGTACCCCAGTCATAACAAGACGATGTGACATGAAATGGAAACGGCGTGTTAATTACCCATGCTCCATGAGACAATTAATAAGCCTCGGGCGAGGTCTAGCCGAAAAGACTTTTTTTTTACAATGGGTATTAATTTCTGGCGTTAGATTGCGGAAAAGCGCTATTCCACACGAATTAATTTCAGACGATGGGTAAACTGGTGTGTTTAATGGACAAAAGTCGTGAACATCAGGCAAACACATAAGCGTCTCGTGGTTATCAGGCTCTATGTAATAACCCTTATCTGGTGTAACACCAAGGTATTTATGTACGGTGTTATACCGAGCTGCGGTCGCTAGTGACGAGTTTGGACCCTGGAAAATAAACGAGGGGTTATAATTAAATATATATCAAATAAAGATTCCTGTTGCCTTAGAGGTACTGACACAAGAACATGAGACCTATTAGGCAAAGGAATGATCACTGCAACGATAATGTCATAATATTTCAACGACACTGTTGGCGTATGTGGCAATTGAAGAGTTGGGGGCAAAAGCAATTGTGCCCCGCTCCAGCAAAACCAGGATTAAGGAGGAAATTCTACAAATTGAGTTATGTGAATATCTGAATAGATCATTTAATTACCTTTAAAGTGATATATAATATTTGGCTATATCTAAAGAACTGACCGATCTACAGCAATTTGAAGATCGGAAACCGACTTATTCCAGAATATGCAGCTTTTGAGATAAAGCGTTCCGGGTAAGGGGCCCAGTCGGGGATGAGCGGTCAGGGGCCCTTCAAATTTTTTTTTTAAATTAAAAATTACCATAATAATCTAGAGATATCTGAACCTATATATCCGGATTAAATATGCACTTAGAAACTAATTGTTTTTGTAAAAATCATATTTTTGTCCAGATAGGCCATTTTCAGTATTGACATGTGTGCGTGCTCATTACTCAAAACAATGACTTGTGACTTAGTTCGTATTATGCTGGAGCCGGTCACAATTGTATGTCAGTTAAAATATTCAATAATTTATGGGGTGGTACAAGATCTGTTGATAGTATACTTCCAATAAGAGTATCCACAGCTCGAGTTATTGCGTCAATGGTTGATTGTAACTGATCAAATGCAAATGTGAGGCCATTTATAGCTAAATATATTCGGGTCAGATATTTAAATTCCGTCAAGGTATAACCTTGAAAGTCTTTCAGTTCCCTTGTTATATATTGAACCTGATCGGCGATAAAATTTCTGTGATTCACTTCATCTTGCAACAATTTAGTATTTCGTTCTGTATTTATACGAGTTAAATTAATGACCGTTATACTGTCATCCAAAATAGCTGTAAGGTGGGATTGGGAGATCTGCATATGATTAAGTTGACCCTGAAGGTATTCGATATCGTCTTCAGTAACGCTACCTATTAACCATTTTGCCAGCTTACCGACGCCAGCAAACAAGGATCGCTTAGGTCGTGTACGATGCAAGGAATGTAACCCATGCACACGTGCGCTTAATGCGTCATATCTACGAAGGAACCACTGTAAATGAGTTTCAAGCATTTTATATAGATCATGCGTGAATTCTTGTTTGCCACTCCAAGCAGGATAAGTAGGCATAGTTTTATACGGGGAGATAGGCGTTTAAAGTCGGTTAAGTTCCATATGCATTTTGGTAAGGTAGAGGTTTAAGGCCGAAGTGTTAACGGAAAAGGCAATTAACCAGGTATTTTGCGACACTGTCAACTGGCCTTTCTTGACAAACAGCGACCCGCTCGTTGGTTGAAGTGTAGAAGCCACCGGTGTCGATCCCATAATGTGCCAACACAGCGTGGCTAGCACGAGTCTGGAAGTAATACGATATGATGTTAACAATACTCCGCGGAACGTTGCCCTTACTGATTGCGCTCACGCAGCCTGGCGAGAGGTATCTCGTCCTCCTCATCTCACTGTAAAGAATGTTGTGCATAAATATTATTATTGGCATCGTACGCATGCATAGGTCTGCCGTGTTGCGCAGCTTCATCCACTTGTCGCACTGGTGACACGGTGCTATCCTGTTGAGGTAAAGCATTGGGTATTGTGTTACCGCTAGAGTATGCAAACCTAAGGCTGTCGACGTGTACGTCACGCATAGTACCCTTATGTGCATGTCTAATGCGGAACTGGACAGAAGATAATTTTTTATGAATTTTATACCATCCTCGCCAATATGATGCAAGTTTTCTTAATGCTCTTGGTATAACTGTAGGATTATACCAATATACTTCGTTACCTATCTGAAATTGTTGATTTTTAGCCTGGCAATCATATAGTCTCTTATTACGCTGTGGCACTCGAGCGGTGCGTTGATGTATCAGCGTGCATGCCCCATGCATCTTCTCTAACGCGACTGATACCGGATCATTCGTATAGAGGCGGTCACGGGGTAACAAAAGCGTATCCCAAAGGAGTACTGGTGATTTCCCATACATTAAATAGAAAGGGCTGTAACCCGTGGTTGCATGCTGTGCTCTCCTGTATGCGAAGAGAATTGGTCCCAACATCCGTTGCCATTTTGTATGTTTTTCTGTTACTAAGCATGCAAGCATCGAGTTCAATGTTTTGTGAAACCGTTCGCACACTGCATTCGACGCTGGATGAAATGGGGCAGTAGTCACATAACACGTAACACACAATACGTTTCATTAATGATTTACAAAATTCTAATCCTCTGGACATCCATGCGCTGGAATATACGAATTAAGAATAAGATTAGAGATCGCTGAAGATTTATTAGTAGTGCAATAGCATTCTGGAAAAGATGAGAAGAGATCTACAAATGTGACTATATACCTATACCTCTCATCTGTCATTGGCAATGGCCCCGCAACATCTCATACTTATTGTCTCGTTAACCGCTGTCGACAGAGGGGCTTTATGCAGTGGAGCATTAAGTTTACGTAACTTCCTATCCTAGAATTACAAGGTACACATTCTTTAACATACTTATGAATTTGCTGATACATCCATGGCCAAAAATAACAATCCGCAATTTTACGGTATGTTTTATCAAACCCAAGATGCGCAGCATGAGGTGAAGAGTGACAAGCAGCCATAACGTCATTTACTAAAGAACGCGGAATAACGACTTGCGAAAGAGGGGATATAGTAGTGGAAGTCGTAACCAAATGACAAAGTATATCCTCTTCCATATGATTTTCCTCTATTAATTGTATCCCCTGCGACGGAGTCGGCAGGGATACTATGGTTTCATGTCTCTCCAGCCGCTGCCGCTCGGTCCGCCGCAGAAAATTTCGCTTCCGCTCTATAACTCGACCCCTAATTGATAACATATTGTGTGGGTCGTCAACTATGGTTGGGCTGCGCGTAACTAGAATATGTAGTGAACGAGTAGAGTTATATTTTCGTCAATGCAAGCTTGTCTAGACACATGTGTCGGCTATGAGGTGTGTCGTTGTTGCGGGCATTGAAGTTGATCAGTGTAATTAGGGCAAACATCTCTATGCAATGTATTGCCGTAATGCCCTCACGCTGACTTCTGTTGTTTACACACACAGGACATGGGCATACCCTTCCATGAAAAAGAGGCACGTGTTGTTGCTGGCTGGATGCGGTTTTGTGGTCGGGGATGTCGTCCTGTAGTGTGTGACAATTTACCGAGCATGCAATGTGAAGCATATGCAGTGGTAGCATGTAACAGCATATATTGTGATGTATTTTGAACGTTTCATTCGATTTACCTTACCAGCATTATAATGAGTAAGGAAATAGCCTTGTTCATTTTGGCTTCTCGATGTCCTCTGCCCTCTGCTGTCCATGGCAAAACAACATGTGTTTATACCCATCATATGAGATCCGATAGCGTTGTCGTAGCTTAAAGGCCTCCTTTAGTGATGAAAAGTAGTTACATATATCAAATTAACTATGTTATGTAGAACTACGTAGAAATGTACAGGTTGAATGGTTTTCGGGTGTATGAGAAAAACGCATTTCTTGATGGAAACAATGTTAAGAATTTGCGGGCACTCAAAACGCAAAGATGGCGCAACGAGGCCAGTGAGGTGCTGTTCATTGTTACCGCCCCCCCTCATTTCCTCAACGAATTTAGACGTTTCACAAAATCCACCCCTGGCACTGCCATTTCCGCGCATCCACGCAAAAATATCATTCCTCTCCATATAGCTTCACCTTACAGTCCAAATATCACTCATTACACCAACATTAAAAGCACACAGATGTTATGGAGTTACAGCATAGACAAATTAATTTTACGACGTACTAACAGTAATACATTTTAGCCTGTGCCATAAAGCCTAATGGCAGAATTGCACAACTTCTATTTGTGAGTGAGTAATTGAAAACAAGTGCATGATTTGCAAGAACCTGTACTGTGTCTAGACAAATAAGCAGTGCCGCCACAAGCCGATCCATGCAGCTATTTCCGTGTAGTTCCACATAACAGAAAATGCTTCCTCAGAAAAACAAGTTCTAAAGCAGTACTTCGGAATTCTAGTATACAAACATTGTAAGACATTTTCCTGTTACTCTACACAATTCCTGTTACTCAAGCAATAACGCTAGATGTCATGAAAGTCGTCAAAACACTGGAAAGTTACTTTCATAGTTTAACTCAGCGTTCACAACGCATTGCTTGATGCACATATATATATATCGGCCGTGCATCCATGTCATGCGTATTTATGCATCGACATTCTCGACGCGAGCAGCTGCTTCGGCGGCCGGCCGACGGAACGCTAGTTCAAGTCGTTCTGCTGCGCCCACTGGCGCCGCGGGACACTTGTACTTGGGCGCTTCGGGAAGCACGCGTTCAGGCCAAACGTGCGTCACGTGGAACTTGGGTTCTTTCGCCACTTTTGCCCCTGCCGCAATGCCTGGTTTGTACCAGCCGCAGATTATCCAACCAACGTGCGCGTCCTTGTAGTATTTCACTACTACGAGCTGGAAACGCGTACGGCTGGTAAAGAGTACACATCGAGTGCTCATGCAATGGCAGCAATGGTTGTTCGCTGCTGATTTCTGGCATGCCAGCCACTACAAATTCAAACTGGTTCAAATATACAAATTGTCATCCCAATCCATGCACAGTTGCGCATTAAAAACACTTGCGCTGCCTTCACTTCATCTCTACAATAGACGTAGAATAAGGTGCCTTCAGTGATGTCTCTGAAATGCAAAGAACACCAATTAAATGAGAATGTTACAAAGCCTACAAAACTCCTCATACACTATCCGCTTTGTTGATACATCTTCGCTCAACCAATGTCATTGAACATGTTGACTTAGCATCGGTCAGCTGCTGCAACAAACTGAAATATCGCCTTACCTGCATAACACCAGACGGTCGTATGGCTGCTCTAGTTTCATCACCTTCCCACCAAAGTCTCTGGTCAACGCCTTCTTCTTACCCGGCTGGATTTTCTTAATCTGCAAAATATGCGCTATTACGCGAGTTTTTTCCTCCACGAAATCCTCGTCGACAATACTCACTGCAATTGTTTTCACATCATCGCCATTTACAATTGCCGTTGCGTCTTCGATCCGTCCGCTTAAAATGTAACGCGACAGCATTTCGAGTGGAGACGTTATCGTCCTCTGTGTAACGTGCGTGTGTGTCGGTGTCATGGGATCCTCACTATTCAACTGTCCACCAGCCGTTCCTGTATGTTGCGAACTCACACTTCGGGAACCACGCGTTCAGGCCGAACGTGCGTTACGTGGAACTTGGGTTCTTTCGCCACTTCGGCCCCTGCTGCAATGCCTGGTTTGTACCAGCCGCAGATTATCCACCCAACGTTTGCGTCCTTGTAGTATTTCACTACTGCATGACATGCTTCCCGGATCGCAACATGATCCACCAAGTCCCGCGCGTTCATATGCAAGAAAACATCATGCAAACCAAAGTCAATGATCTGCTTATCTAGCTCTAGTACTATAGCCCACGTACACTTGCCACACGGCTATAGGACATTCTATTACGCATGCGAGGCACGAACTTATTCATTGTTACTTCGTGCTATAAAACGTCTGTGGTAGGCAATTCATGCGTGTTATGCGAAGTGAATATGTCTTAAGTTATATCGCAAACTTAAATTTTACCTCTAGCTATCGTTGAAATACTGTGCTTGCGCTATTCCTTGTCAACGAACATTCCATTTAAGAACTTGAAACGGGGACATTTCAGCTCTCACTTATAATACACACATGATCACCAGCATACTCGTTGTCCCATTTCTCTTCTCCATCATGATGACAGAAGACAGGGTACACCGCAGAATTTCCTTCCTGTGTGTAGCAGCTGTGAGCGCACAGCAGCGAACGGTGTGATCATGCTGGCCATCACACATAGCTGTGCCACATGCGTCGATCACATTCACACAATTCAGCACTATGT